ACAGCTGCTGGTAATTTACTGTAAAGTTGAAATTTGCAATAAAATACTGTAATGTGTCATATGGTTGTAGTGTTTATCACTGATAGACTGTAATTATGTTAACAGTATATCTGTTGTTTTTAATGTAATTTACTGTATACAGATTTACAGAATATGCTGTTTTTCACAGTAATTAACCGTAAACAAACAACAGTTTTCAACAGTGAAATTTATAGTTGCAACAAAAGCATACCGTAACGTCTTATACATTGTCACTTTATTTTTTACGGTGAAATTCTGGCAACCACAGCTGCCAGTATTTTACCGTAAATTTTATGGTGTTTTTTTTGGTTTTTTTTTAAAGGAGCAGACATCATATTGGAGATGATGTCTTCAAGGGAACAGAACAGTATTTTACCGTAAATTTTATGTTTGTTTTTTTTTGTTTGTTTTTTTTTTTTCTTTTTAAAGTGTAACACTTACCAAGTGAAGGAGAGAGTCTGTAAACTGAAGGACTCAGGAGTGTGCACTGCAGTTCCTGCTAAGAACACATCTCAAGTCAGGAGCAGACATCATATTGGAGATGATGTCTTCAAGAGAACAGAATATGATGAAAAGCCAGCCTTTGCCATTGAAGACCTGACCTTCTTCCATGTCATGAAACAAGGCCTTTATAAAAATGAGGAGAACAGTCAGGTAGCACCTCTTCCCTTCAAGCCTCAAAGAAGGCGTCTACCCAATAACAGAGAACAGGCCTTCGCCTTCGTTTTTTACAGCGGACTTTCTCGAAGAAACCGGAAATGAAGGAACACTTCTTTGGCTTCATGGAGAAGATGCTGGAACAAGGTCATGCTGAAAAGTCTCCCCCACTCTAAAAACAAGAAGATTGCTGGTATCTTCCGCTGTTTGGGGTTTATCACCCAAGAAAGCCAGGCCAGATGAGAGTAGTTTTAGATTCAAGCTGTCAGTACGAAGGTGTATCCCTCAATGATGTACTCCTGACTGGACCCGACCTCAATAATAGCCTTCTTGGATTGCTTATGCGCTTTAGGAAAGAAGCAGTGGCTGTTACCACAGACATACAGCAGATGTTCTACTGTTTTGTCGTTAGACCGCTAGACAGAAATTTTCTCAGGTTCTTTTGGTATGAGGACAACAACGAAAGCCAGAACGTCAGCGAGTTTAGGATGAAAGTTCATGTCTTTGGAAACAGCCCCTCTCCTTTGGTTGCAATTTATGGCCTCAGAGAAGCGGCGAGAGAGGATGAGGCAGAGTTTGGAGCTGATACCCTGGAATTTGTGGAAAGGGACTTCTATGTTGATGATGGTTTAAAATCACTGCCTACTGCTGCAGCTGCCGTTGAGCTCCTTAAAAGAACACAAAGGATGCTAGCTTGTTCTAACCTGAGGTTGCACAAGATTACCTCAAACTGTGAAAAAATCGTGAGTGCCTTCCCTCCAGAAGATCATGCTAGTGGTCTGAGAAACCTAGATCTGGGTAGTGACACAATGCCGGTTCATTGAACTCTTGGAGTTGCCTGAGATCTTAAGAGTGACACATTCACTTTCCAAGTGTCCAGCGACAAGAAACCGTTCACACGACGTGGAATCCTTTCTACTGTAAACAGCCTATTCGATCTCCTTGGGTTCACTGCCCCAGTCATTATCCAAGGCAAAGCTCCACTTAGAGACCTTACAGCAGACACTCAAGACTGAGATGAACCTCTACCTCTGGATAAACAAGAACTGTGGGAACAGTGGAGAGACTCCCTGCAAGAGCTCCAAAATCTGCACATTCCCAGAACTTACACGCAAGCTTCCCCTTCTGCTGCTCTAAAACGAGGGCTCTGCATCTTCTCGTATGCCTCTGTCTTGGCAATAGGTGCAGTGGCATATCTAAAGATTTTAGGTGGAAATCACCAGACAGGCTTCATCCTTGGTAAAGCTAAGCTTGCACCATGTCCCGATTTAACTATACCCCGCCTTGAACTTTGTGCTGCGGTATTAGCTGTGGATGTGGCTGAAGTTATAACATCAGATGTCGACATTGAATTTGACAAAGTCACCTTTTTTACTGACAGCAAAATAGTCCTTGGCTACATCAACAATGAAAAACATAGATTCTGTGTGTTTGTGAGCAACAGAGTCCAGAGAATTAGAAGAAGCACCCAGCCTCAACAGTGGTGCTATGTGCCAAGCAATTGGAATCCAGCTGATCTAGCAACAAAAGGTGTCCCTGCAGCCTACCTTAGGGACACCACATGGCTCACAGGGCCTGCATTCTTGACTCAGCCAGACGTGACATCTTGCAGCAAAGACGCATTCGACCTGGTGAATCCTGACGAAGGTGTAGATGTCCCGAAGTAACAACATTCGGCACTATTGAACTTAGAACATAATCTTGGCTCAGGACGCTTTGAGTGCTTTTCGATCTGGAAGTCATTACTTCGGAGTGTCGCATGTCTGATACACATTGCTCACTCTTTCAAAAAAGATTGCCCCAGAGAGTCAAGAGATTGTAAAGGCTGGCACCTCTGCAGTGGAGCCTGCATTGCCTATGAGCTTGCACATGCCAAGAATGCCATAATTAAAGCTGTACAGGCAGAAGTTTATACGAGAGAACTTAAGTGAGTTAGAAATGGCGAAAACCTCCCTAAAGGTAGCCCCCTACTTACTCTGAATCCTGTCATGGGAGAGGATGGCCTCCTGAAAGTTGGAGGGCGTATTTCCCAAGCAAATATTAGGTACAATGAAAAGAGCCCTGTAATAATCCCTGGATGACATCACTTTACAGTTCTGACTGTGAGACACTATCACGAGCAATGTCACCATCAGAGGCGGCATTTTACGGAAGGTGCTGTGCGTACCGCAGGTTATTGGATTGTGGGGGCAAAAATATGCATATGCTCTCTTATCTACAAGTGTGTTACTTGCCTGGAGGCTCCTTGGTGAGACTGGAATACAGAAAATGGCAGACCTACCTGTGGACAGAGTAAGCATGGAACCTCCATTTACATACGTGGGAGTTGACACGGTTGGGCCCTGGACCATTTCTACTCGCCGCACTAGAGGAGACCATGCTAATGACAAGAGATGGGCAGTACTGTTCACTTGCTTGAGCGTCAGAGCAATCCATATTGAAATCATCGAGAGTATGGACACTTCTTCTTTCATAAACGCCATGAGACGCTTCATTGCTCTTCGCGGTCCAGTGAAGCAGATGTGCTCTGATCGGGGAACCAATTTTATAGGAGCGTGTAGGAAGTTGAACATCTCTTCCAGCTTAGATGAGAGCAAATTGTCTAAGTTTCTTGTGGAGCAAGGATGCTCTTGGATCTTTAATCCGCCCCAAGCCTCTCATATGTGTGGTGCATGGGAGCAGATGATTGGCATTACCCGAAAAATTCTGGACTCTATGATGCTTCAAATGCAACCTGTGAGAATGACCCACAAAGTTCTGAGTACATTCATGGCTGAGGTGGCTGCCTTTGTGAATTCCAGGCCTCTGATACCTATCTCCATGGATCCTGAGGATCCTTTCATTCTAACGCCTGCAAGTCTATTCACGCAAAAGACCGGTCCATGTCCAGTTCCCCCAGGTCATTTTAATGGTACTGACCTCTATAGACACCAGTGGAAGCAAGTACAAAGTTTGGCAAACACCTTTTGGGACAAATGGCAAAAGCAATACCTGTCTAAATGTCAACCAAGAAAGAAGTGGCAGAACGACAAGCAGAACATTACGGAGGGTACTGTGGCGCTTATGAAAGACTGTCAGTTCAAACAAAACGACTGGCCGTTGGGCCGCATCACCAAAGTATTCCCAAGTGAAGATGGATGAGTTCGCAAGGCAGAGATCAAGGTTGCAGATAAAGCAGGGACAAAGTTGTTACTAAGACCTATGACACAAGTCGTGACAATGCTTCCTGCTGAGTAATGAAGGACTGCTGATGTTTTGTTAAGTTGTGTTGAGCTAAGATAGTGGTATCTTAAGATACCAGGCGAGGAGTATGCAGTCAGTGTATGTATGGAGCGGATTCTTCAAGAGACTTTTACTTTGGCGATGATGTCATCGGCTTTGTGTCACAGTTCAGGAAGTATACTAGCAGAAAATGAGGGGAGAGCCTCATGGTGTTCCATGTATCATAATCTTTGTTCATCTGTTACATTTCATGCTTTGCAGATACACTGCCGGTATGTTAGTTTGTCAACATAAATCTTAATTGATATTTAGTTTGTATTAGTAACATTAGATGGTATTTCATGCAGTGTTAATGGCATGTTCCAGCTCTTAGTGTATCAAGATGTATGCAGTAATCGATTGTCTCCAGTTAAAATTCATGTTTATTTAAACAATGGAAGGCATAAAATACCATGGCAGTGGATTAGTGTTTTAAATATCATTGTATAGCAATTTGTGTTCTCACGTTAGTACTCATACCCTGGTGATGTATTTTCTTGTAGTTTTACCCTACTTCCAGTCAACCATTAAAAGAGACAAACTGGGCTTCCTCTTCAGCGTTGTGATTGGGGGAGGAGTTGTCTATCTGCTGACTTATGCAGGGCGTATAAGGGTGGCAGAATACCCACACTGATCTACAGTATAGTAATAAAAGATTAGATCTGCTGAACAGAGAGAGAGAGTTAATTTTATATCAATTTAATTAGCTGTATTTTAAGCCCTATATATCTGAAAAGAAAATGATGTATTTAAAGCTGGTGAAAAGTTTCTTTGACTAACTGCAAGCCAGGACAGGGATATCTTTCTCTGGAGAATTATGGACTAAATATCTTGACTCACTTTGATTAATAAGTAGAACAAAATAAACTCTACTAACAGATTAAAGTGAGTCCTAGAACGTTCTAGGCTTGTGAGGATGGGGATTGTAATAAAGTGCTGAGTTAAATCAGATTCTGGATCAGCCATTTTGACACTATTTAACATTTTTAATAAGTACCAACCAGTTATAGAAACAGGACTTTTCATTTCTCCATTCAGGAGTCTGTTTAGTGTCTGTACTGTCACTCTGAGAGACAGTAGGGTTTGACGTCATCATTGGTCTCTGGACTGTCTATCTGCAGTTTGTGAGTTAACAAGAAGAGGGCGCTGTTTTGTCTGCTGTGTGAAATTAGGAACTTTAAATGTGTTCATGTTCTTATGCAGTTACACACACACACATTAAAGTTAGTAGAACTCATAAATATGTGGAATGATGTTAAATTACAAAAAAAGCACTTGTAGAAAAAGAAAATGAGCCTAATATACATGAAACCGTTGTACAAGTCAGCATATTTTTACATATTAATTACACAGAAAAGTATAATCATACACATACAGAGAAGCAGAGAGCTGAGGTCCGCCCAGCATGTGAATGTGGTGAGAACACAATGCAGATCACTAACAGCCTCACACTGAGCTTAACATACTGAGTATAAGAGCTGATACACAACATTTATATCAGAATGATTTCAGCTCTTAGCATTTCATACTCTTCATAGAGAAAAGACACTCTGCACTGAATCATACAGATATGATTATATTTACAAAAAAAGAAAAGGTTTTCACATTTTAACAGATATTTGGATTTACAGAAATTAAGAAAAAACCTGGAAGAATTTGAGGCTGTTATGTTACAGTTTGGAATTATAAGCACAAAAGTATTAATTTTAGATGTTCCTTTGTAGATTCTCTACATGAAGTTATGAGTAAGTACAGAGAAATGAAAGAATTTCCATAGTTTTACATCTTAGCAAGAACTAATAAAGAGATCACTGAGTCTCGTACATAAAGAAATGACACAGACTCAGACATTCAGGTTTATCTCCAAATAAACACAGAGCTCCAGAAACACTGAGCTCACAGATATCATGGAGAAACATGAACAAGAAAAAACAGACCTCAGAACAAACATCCACAAACATAGTTCAATACAATATCCTTAATCTTAGTCCTAATCCACAATGTTCACTCACACTGGATCATGATGAAGAGGTCTAAAGTGAATCCACTGTATATGGAGTTTATCACCTTCTCTGTTACTGAGTATCACAGTTTAATGTGTAGAACTCACTGCTAGAGTGTGGTACTCAGGAGAACTGGACTGAGGGTCCAGAGCTGTATACGTGTCATCAGGAGAACTGGACTGAACAGCCTGTGTGAGGGAAAGAGAGAATGAAGCAGAGGAGGAGAAATGAAGAACTCCATTTAGTTTTCTGAGTTAGGAATTCTTTACAGATCTAGAGGGAGGATTTGTGAAGAGACACTTACTGCAAGTGTGTGGTACACATTATCAGAGGACCTGGCTGTGGGCTGAAGAGCTGTGTACGTGTCGTCCTTAGCATTAGGGTCAGCATTCTGGACAGAGGATGGTTAGAGAAGGTGTAGAGAGACTGAAGGAGTTTAGAAATCACTAGTTTAACAATTTACTGTTTGAAACAAATCATCTCGATCATGATTTACTGACTGAAACCAAAAGGTAAGTAGCTCAGAACAGCACCTTGGACAGCACTCTCACCTTTTCACAGCTCCATCTTAAAACACTTCATCCTACTCTGCCATCTAGAGGAAGAGTTTTCGGTAACACTTTATTTTGCAGTGACCTTTTTTACATGAACAATGTAACTGTGTTAAATAGTTCACAATATGTGGATTATTTCTATTATGACATGCAGTTACATTGTGTCATGTTACAAAACAAGATCAAGATTAGAGCCTGAGATGTTTTTGGTGATGATTTTAATATAAAAATGTAAGGATTTTTCAATTATTTGTTATCCTATTTTATCCTATCTGTACTTAGACATCAACACACATGCCTTTACGTTAATTATGTTTTTAGGTTAATTCTTATTCTGAATTGACACTGTTACAATTCTGATATGGACTATATCTATTATTATTCTTCACCTCCTGGACTTGTCCTATAATGAAAGCACCCCAAAGCAAGTGTATTTCCCAAATATCACCCAGTAAAGGAAACTAGGTAGTAAGAAAATGTTGCAAGACAGCAAGAGTAAAGTTGCACTTTTAACAGTCGTATTCTGTCAGTCAGTCCATCAAGGTGGAGCAGTAGAACTCTTATCAGAGAATTTGTAGTGAGGAGAACTGATACTTTATAAAATCAGATGCTAAAAGGCTCCTGAGAAAATCCAAAATGAATGGACGTCTATGGGACATTTGTGCACAGTTGTAACATGATGGTTAATTTATTCAGACAAATACACTCGTTTTCTCAACAGAGAACAACATGAAGTGTTTCAACACTTATTTTTTTTTATGCTTTTTAACTCCAGCTTTGGGACTTTCTAAATGTGCCTTATTTACACTCATGACATCAGTGAGTGCAAATCACTTTACTCAGCCAATGAGCTGAGATTATTCAGCATGTTTTTGACTAATTATTCACATGAATGATACATGTACAAATTAGAAGTGATTAAATGGAATTAAGTACAATGAAATGGCCTACTTAATTTAGTGTTCTTAAGCAGCTATAATGTGGTAATAACACTGTATTTACACACTAATTACATTAAGATCAATATTGATTTTTATTGCTTGTTACTGAGACATTCTAGGCTTTAGTAAACCCATGTAATCACATTAAAGATTAATGTTACAGCATTTTTAAAATAAAATATAATTTAACATTTACAGTGTAGCAAATGTAATCACAAAGACTGATGTTACAGCATTTTTAAAATAAAATATAATTCAACATTTACTTTGTAGCAAATATAGTACAAATATGAAACTGCATTTCTCACCTGATAATCTTGTTTATCTGAAAGTCTTGTCTTCCTATTGATCCTGATGGGCAAAACAATGAATACATTCTAATTACTTCTAATTACTCTGACAATCTATGTTCATCTGTTGACACATTACTAATAAACCCAAACAAGTTATTTTGTTTTTATTGTGGGAAGATTTGTGCTACATTTTACTGACCTGCAGATGCAGATTAAGACAGTAATAAGGACAAAGCTTACTCCTCCCACTGCAATCCAGACTGCATACAAACTCTGACCTGCGGAGAATAGGATCATTTCCATCATTTTAGAGTCCTTATTTTAAATGTGGACACTGAAATATGAAGTATATCTATTATTATTCACCACCTACTCTTAACAGTGACCATCACAGTTCCATTCTGAGCTCCATGTTCATTCTGAGCTTCACAGTGATACAGTCCAGTGTGGTCAGCAGTGATGTTGATTATGCTGCAATTCTGTCCAGATCCTACAGGTGAGGTTCCACCTTCTTTAAACCAGGTGTAGTTCTTCACAGGTGGGTTTGCATCACTGCTGCAGGTCAGAGTCAATGAACTGCCCTCCACTATTCCACCAGAGGGACTGATGGACACTGAAATGTTCTTTGGAGGATCTTCAATAGAAGAAAAATGTAAAGGAAATGATGCCTTTATGTTTATTAAGATTCAGCTAAATTTAAGTTTAACCCCTTAAATATTCAGGGCCCAATGTTTTATTACACGCATTTCTTACTTATGAATAGCTCAAATAGATTGGATTGAAGTCCATGTAGTTACTGAATAATAAACCTGAGTAATAAGGATTTTGAGGGGTTGATACTTCAGCATTAACTCACATGTAACATTAATCTGCACAGCAGTGGATCTTCTGTCTCCCATGTTCATCATGACACTGACATGTGTATTCTCCACTGTCCTCAGATCTGATGTTGGGAATGCTATAGGTTTTTCCTTCTCCTACTGATGTTGATCCCTTAAACCAGGTGTAGTTCTTCACAGGTGGGTTTGCATCACTGCTGCAGGTCAGAGTCACTGAACTGCCCTCCACTATTTCACCAGAGGGACTGATGGACACTGAGACGCTCATTGGAGGATCTAGACAAAATTAAATAATTAGTTGATTTATATTTGCAGGTTTGCATATTATTAAACCTGAAACATTTATCAGACATTTAATATCTTGCTTAATTAATGCAAATGGTGGAAATAAATAAAATAAATAATTATTTTAATATAATTTAAATAAAGCAACAAACAGTGAACCAAGCCCAGAAAGCCAGGATACATTTTTAAAGTCTACATTGATTTACTTTGGGGGAATAAATGAGATGACTCACATCTGACTCTGAGGTTGTGAGCAGTAGAGCTGAGATGTTGATATCCTCTTACAGCACAGCTATAACTGCCTGCATCCTCACTGCTGACTGTCTGCAGGTGGAGCTGGTTGTTCTTGATGGTCTTTGTGGTTAAAGGACGTCCATTTTTGTACCAGATGAATGTTGGGTCAGTCAGACTGCAGGTGGTTTTACATGTCAGATCTGCTGTTTCTCCCTCTGTCACTTCTTCAGGAGTTTCTACATGGAGCTCTAAGACAGTAAGAGGACCATCAGATTAGGAGAGTAAAGCTGTAAAGACAGTGAACTTCATTCATCAAAGTTACAAACAAGTGTAGAAACGAGTGCAGATGTAACTAAACTGAATGATGTTTGATCTTCTATGCTTCTCAGTGAGGAAACTTTTGTACATCAAAACAAACAGTGATCTGGGTGCAATTTATAAATCAGCTTCATAGACGTTCATAGAAGCAAGTGAGAACCTTATTTACATATCATTTGCAACAAGTAGTGCTCATGAATATAATTTAAATGAAGTTTGTCCTGCAGATGTAAAGATGGTCAATCAATATAACAAATATTCAGCAGCTGATGCAACATAAGGGAGGTTTCTGGTCGAGTAGTGAAAGCTTTGAAATCTTGAAACTACAATGAGTTAAAAAAAATAAAATGTGAAATGAACAAAATGTAGCCCTTTTTTCAGATGGGAAAATTGATGTGATTGTTTAGTGTGATTCATTTTATAAAACACTGACTGCTTGAGTGATAATATTGCAGTATATGATATTCTAATGTACTCTGTAAGCTATGATTTGTATTGACAGGTGGTACATTTTATTCAAATATCAATCGGTAATGAGCTCATTTTCAGATGTGACCTCACAAATATTTGATGGATGAAGTCCAATGAAAAAAAAAAATATTCATCTAGTCTTTACACACGCACACACACACACACACACACATATATATATATATATATATATGTTCTCATACCTCCTTTTTTGCTTTTTTTAATTTTGTAGAATTTAAAAACATCTCTGCATTGTGTAATATTTTCACTGTAAACAGAGAAAAAGAAATAGATTTAAAAATGTTTAAAAATGTGTAAATCTTCTTCGATATATTACCATTTTTGAGACACTCTTTTTTTTTCAGCAACGGCAATGTGTGTGTTATTTATCATTTGCCAAATAATTGCTCTTATTATTCATGACTTTAACATGAAAATTCTTTAAATCAATCAATTAATAACAAGACTGTTTTTTGAAAGGACTAATGTTTTTCCATGATTTGACATGGACAGAATCAAAAATAAAATGAGCAGATCAATTTAATCAGGTGTAAGAACAGATAAAATGATGTAGGAGTGAATCAGAACAGAAGCTGAACATCATTAGAGCAGATTAATAAAATCAGTGATGAAAAAACAACATGAATATTCAGAGCAGTCATGAATAAGAAACATTACTCTGAAACCAGAGCTGTGTCTTATAGCTGGGACAATGGGATGATTAACTCACCTGTAACTCTGAGCCGAACTCCAGGTTTACCTGTCCATTTTTGTTTATCTACTTTTGCTATGATTCTGAAGCAGTACTGATGTTCATCCTTCTTCATTACATCACTCAGTTTGAGGGAGAAGTGTTTCTGTTCATCAGTGAAATACTCAACTCTGCCTGAATAATCTGGGTCTTTACTCAGATCAGTCAGCTTCACACCCTTAACTGGGTCTATGTACCAAAAGGCTGCTCTCACTGTAAGATGTTCTGGGTGAGTATAAGTTCCATTTATAAACACTGTGGATCCTTTTAAAGCACATATTTCCTGTTGGTTGTACTTCACACTCCACTCTGTTCCAAAAGCTCCTGAAACATATGATGCATGAAAGAGCTGATTACAGAGTCTGGAGCCCATAAGACAGTCAGAGTTACTGTAGCTTACAGCTTCACTTCTCTCCTCTCTAACTCCAGCAGCTCCTCTACAACACTGAGCTGATTCTGAGAGAAACCACAAACCACAACAAACACTGACTCACCAACAGTCATGAGCAGAAAGATCAGAGGAAGAGGAGGAGCCATTCTCAATGACCTCATCACAGCAGCCTGGAGGATATTTTTAGTTAATGACAGTGAAATAAAGTCTCCACGTCTTCGTTTTCAAATTCCTTAAGAAGTCTAAGATTTGAAATGCTGAAACCATTATGAAGTCTGTCTTTTATTTAGTCAGTTTAATTTATTTAATCAGTTCTTCAACTCTGTGTTTATGATAACCTGACTGTAAAGAACATGAACTTATTATATTTTGAAAAGAGTGATTAATGTGACATTTCTGAGTATCTATGACCAGCAGGTTCTTTCCAAGGGAAGGTCTATACTGAGCAACATGGATCCCCTTCTTCATTCAGAGCTATTCTCCCTTCACAATGTAGATTTAAGGCATTATGTTTCTCAAACAAAAACAGAACTTAACAAACATTGTCTTTACAATGTATTTGTTTTTTATGTTACTACTTAAGCATCACGTGATCATATATGTTCTCCAAACTTTCCCCCAAAACAATCCCACATGAGACAATAAAGATAAACTGAACTTCTTTGAAACTGAAATGGTAGAAATATCAATCTCAACACAAAGACCTAAATTTGTACTGTATCTTTTTCATAAACTAATAAAATATTATGACTCAAACATACATCTTACCGTTCTGTAATGAGGCTCCTCTTCAACGTCCAAGTGATAAATGGTGAGAGCAGAGACAGAACTGAGATGATAAACTAGATGTGGTTAACAGATAAGTAGTCAGGTGAAACTCCCAGAGTTATTAATACACTCATTCCTCTTATAGAATATCTGTGGTCATCTTAGCTGCAGTAAGAGATGAACTTTACCTTCAACTTCTGGAAGGTCCAAAATTATCTCCCAGTGAAACTATGATGTCTTTCTGTTTTAGATGTCTATTAAAATCATTTAATATTAGACATGTACTGATGTAGGACCAGTTCCTCCTCTTCTCCTGCTCCTGTATGAAGCAGTAATGATCACTGGTGTGTTTATCAGTGCTGATCTCAGTACAGTGTTACCCAGCTGATAGAATAAACATCATCAGATCATCTGAAGAACACAGTGACTGATCTGCTGAATGTTCCAGGACTGTTTTTAAGGGATATTTTATTACTGTATGAAATGTTTTAGATGAGACTTCAGATGGATGAGTTTAATTATTTGAATTGTGTTTAACTGACTAACAATGTAAGAGTATGTTGGCTTAAAATATATTTTGACCTAGTAGTGATGTAAGTCTAACTCTGAGTGAAAATCAATCAGGTTAAAGTGGTTTAATTTAGTTAAGCCAACACATCTGCATCTCTGTCTGCTCATGTGGAAGAAAAACACTGGACTTTTCCTTTCCCTCCTTTCTTTCAGGCTGATAAACAGGCAATGCAGTGTTTTTATCGTAACTTCCACTGTCATTTTTTTCTTACTTTTTTTGGTTAGCATGTTGATTAGCACATTAGCTGTTTCATTACTTTGACGTTTTGTGTGTTAGCATGTAAGCTAGCATGTTTGTTTGCAGTTAGCGCAATCTCGGATAAGAAGTCAGCACCCAGCTCACTGTATGCCACTACTTGTCCATGCCCACACATTGAAAGTTTAGCTAGTTTAGATGTGGTCTAATATTCTGCTTAATCACCAGTGGGCCAACTGGACAAAAAGCCAGAGGGCTGCTATGTTTGCCATCAGTGGGCTTATAGTGGCCCACTACCCTACTGCAGACTGAGTTAGTTCAGGAATTAGCACATTGTTAGCACCTTAACTAGAATATTAGTTCACGTTTAATGTGTTAGCACCATAGCTAGCATGTTAGTTGACAGTTCACAGTTGACAGACACAGCAGTGCTGCTGGAGTTTTTAAACACCTCAGTGTCACTGCTGGACTGAGAATAGTCCACCAACCAAAAATATCCAGCCAAACAGCTTCCTGTGGGCAGCGTCCTGTGACCACTGACGAAGGACTAGAGGATGACCAACACAAACTGTGCAGCAGCAGATGAGCTATCGTCTCTGACTTCACATCTACAAGGTGGACAGATAAGGTAGGAGTGTCTAATTGAGTGGACAGTGAGCGCTGCTGTATCTGATCCACTCAGACCAGTGCAACACACACAAACACACCACCACCACATCAGTGTCAGTGCAGTGCTGAGAATGATCCACCACCCAAATAGTACCTGCTCTGTGAGGGCCCATGGGGGTCCTGACCACTGAAGAACAGGGTAAAAGGGGGCTAACAAAGTATACAGAGAAACAGATGGACTACAGTCTGTAACTGTAGAACTACAAAGTGCACCTATATAGTAAGTGGAGCTGATAAAATGGACAATGAGCGTAGAAACAAGGAGGTGGTCATAATGTATATCTGCACTTTGTTTAGTTGTGTGTTATGTGCTGCTGTATTGTGATGCACCGTGTGGCCGGAAGAATAACTTTTATATTAATAATATAAAACTATTGGATATATACATTTTAAAAGTGAATTTGTGTCTGTATTTTCCTGTGGCCTGTTTATAGTATTAAGCTTGGCTGCTGCTGCTGGGGCTCTCATAGCATGTCTGAGGTTACTGAGTGTGCACATTCATATGTGTCATGACTTTAGCCTGGCTAGGTGCTCAGAGGCCACGTCGGGGTATGAATGACGTCATTTTCTCTGAAAGTATGAGATGAACAACAGCAGCAGTAGCACATATTTTCAGGATTCTACTTTTAGAACTGAACTCATGATGATGGGTGTCTGATATGCTGATTAACTTAATGAATCATTGTTGTCTATTGTTACTGACTTTCAAAGGGGATCTTTTTTTTCTGGACATTTTGCTGTTAAGTAGGATCCCAACCCTGTTCCTGGAAATCTACCATCTGACATCAAGATGCTCCTGAAGGCCTTGATTAAAACAAAACTGGATTGGAATTTTGTTACATTATCCTGTAACAACAACAATATAATAATAATAATAATAATAATAATAATAATAATAATAATAATAATAATGATAATAATAATAATAATTTAGTCCTCTGAGTGGGACACACGGAATCTAGCTATGGAGCCCTCCAGTGGCCTGGCACAGAAAGAGCAGCTCTGGGAACCAGCACAGTAAGAAAGGTCCTAAAAGCCGACACTGAAAAAGGACAGGGAGCTACCACTGGAGCAGCAGCTGTTCTGGAAGCCAGCACAGGAACTGCACAGGGAACCCCCACAGGAGAAGCAGCAGTTTGAGTAGCCAGCACTGGATCAGGATGGAGAGTCAAAACAGGAGCTGTACAGTAAATCACCACTGGACAAGCAACAGCTCGGGAAGCCAGCACTGGATCAGGATGGGAAGCCACACAAGATACCAGCACTGGAGCAACCTGGAGGACTGAAACAGGAGCCCTGTGTAAGCATGGAGCCAGACCAGAGTCAAGCACTGGAGTGGCCCAGGAAACATGAACTGAAGCAACTCAAGAAGAAGAAACAGGAGCCTGGGAGCTGGAAGATGACCTAGAGTAGCCACCACAAAAGAGGAGGATCTGGGAGCCACTACAGGCAAGGTAACTTGGGGTGGCAGGATAAGGGCAGATGCCTATTGACCATTGCTTGTACCCTTGATTGTGCCACCACAGGAACAAAAGGGCCTCTACCCTAGTGACAGTTCAATACCTTCTTTTGAGTATCAGGAGAAAATCATCATCATTCTAAAGAAAAGACAACATGACCTACTGATGAACTTTCAGACAGCAGGTCCAGATCTCACTCTGTTCTTCAGATCTGATCAGGTTTGTCATCAAATTGTTAATACTGTACTGAGATCAGCACTGATAAACCTACCAGTGATAAACACTGCTTTTTGCAGTAACAGGAGAAGAGATAGAACTGACTAAATTAAACCAGAACATGCTCTGCACAGAAGACATCACAAACACAGTATAACTAACACATAACTTTGCAGGAGATTCAAGAGAAGCTCATCTTTTGCTGCAGTTAAGATGCTCACATGCTTCCTGTAGGAGGAAGTAGCATGTTAATGAGCCTGGGTATTTTTTATTGAGCATGAGAGCTTACAGTTAAATGTTGACCACATGTAAATCAACACACATCAGTGCTGCCTGTGTTCTCACCATCTCCCATGAAGACACTGCAGAATTAGAATTAAAATTCAGAACCATTAGCCAACTGTGTTGGCACAGGAATTAGACCTCTGCATTTAACCCATCTGTTCAGTGAAACACCCACATACATGCACAGCTGTGAACACACACACACTAGGGGGCAGTGAGAACACTTGCCCAGAGTGGTGGGCAGCCCTATCTGCAGTGCCCGGGGAGCAGTTGGGGGTTAAGTGCCTTGCTCAAGGGCACTTCAGTCACGTAATGTCAGCTGAGGGGATCAAACCAGTATGTCCAGTGCTACTGGGCGCTCCTGCGGGAGTCTAAATGAATGAGTTCCTATTGGGCTTTTGTGCAAATTCATAGTTTGTGCTGAAAGTACACATTCTTTAAAACACACCATTAAACATCAGAGAATATTTCAGTGCAACTGTTTTTGAGTGCTTTTGAGCTGTAGGACTGTCTAACAGTGTCTTATGTGTGTTCTTGATGTCATTGAAAATGAACTGCTTTACTCAGCCAGTGAGCTGATCAGCTTGCCTACCAATCAGTACTTAGTAGCAGTAATTCCAACCAGTTAGCAGTCAGTAACTGTAATGCCAACAAAACAGGATTTCATTTTTCATTTTTAGCTGTATCTCTCCATTCACCCCTCTTCAATGAGGACTTGCTCACAGGCACCCTCTATTGTTTTGTCATGTTTCTGATATAACAAGAGCAACAAGTCCTGAGTCATGTGATGCAGCAAGGAGTTCTGGGAATTGGAGTCCTGGGCAGCCGGGAGGGAGGCATGAAACCAAGTGTAACAGAGCTAAAACAAAAAGGAAAGAACTAATAATAATAATTGTAGTCCTTAGTTGTGTGAATTCTTCCAAAATTATTGTTCATAAGAAATCATTTTTGTTATATATTTCTTGTTACTTTGAGCTAAATTGTTGTTTTATATTTCATTTTTCAAAAAAATACAGATTCTTGCTATGTTAATACTACATACAAGTTCAATTTACTAATTTGGACTACAATTCCCTGCTGACATGCGCACAACTGCCGAAGCTCACGTTTTCTGTTAATTTTGTCCCTTCGCGCTTCCCTTACCCCCAGCAGCGCTTTGCACTATGCTGGAGGTAAGTTGTGTAGAAAAAGCTCTGTGAATAATCTCATATTTTAGGAAGCTCTATGTACTTCTGAGATGAATGTTTGCAAGCATCATCTGTAATACCAGTCATAGCGTTTATGTGCTGCGTTTTGGACAAGTATTAGCGCATATTTAACTCCCTCTCTGTGCTAGCTACAGTTCGTCCACTATACGATCACATAACTAAATGTACTAGCTAAGCTGTATATTGTATTACTTTATGTTATTTTCATGAGCAAATGTGTACTAGTAGTCAGCCCAGCAGCGCTTTACACAATGCTGGAGAGCTATGGGTAGTTGCAGCAAACATAATGTTGAAACGGATTGTGTGTGTGTGTATGCAGGAACAACAAAGACACAGGCAGAGAGGGAAGCCATTGAGTCAGCCGTTTTCTGTGCGTCCATCCTTTTAATGTGAGCTCTATGGTAACACCTACCGTTACACAAGCTGAAAGCAAGTCTGCAAAAAAAACATAAAACATTTAGGAGACCACAAGTAAACATATCAAATCTAATAAAAGTGCGGTGTGATTTGCCTCAAAACAGGCGTAGAAAGTGTTTAGCTCATCTGGAAGTGCAGCAATGATGTTATTCACAGAACGAGTTTCCCTCTTAAAGTCCGTTATTGTGTTTAGCCCCTCCCACAGGCTTCTCGTGTTGGTGGTGTTGAACTGTGATTCCACTTTAGCCCTGTACTCTCGTTTGGCAGCTCTTATGGTCTTACAGAGAGCATAGCTGGCTTTTTTATACTCATCTGTGTTTCCTGATTTAAAAGCAGCGGTACGTGCTTCTATTTGCATTATATAAGATTTTTCATTACAAATTACATTATAGTGTGGGGGTAAATCACTCTTATTTCGGGGTAGAAAAAATATCTCTTTAAACCTCAAGCACAGCCAGAATCAGGACCCAAACCTGGATGATGGTGACTAACTCTCCCAAACACAGTACCTTCCCAAACTGCTTTCACACAACCTGAACATTAACATCGCATACTTGAAAAGGCAACTGAAAACCTTCACTTAGTGTTTTAAGAACTATATACAGCTGGTTAAGCATGTGCAAAGCATCTTGGGAACAAAGCAACACTACAATATTACAAATGTGCATGAGAAGTGTCTTTGAAATTTTAACATGAAGTTCAGATTTTTTCCACCTTTTGCTTTAATAACAGTGAGCACTCAAGCTGACAATGAGCTCAGTTTGTGCAAAACCCTCTGATTAGTAGATCAAATCCACCTAAAAGTGGTCCAAACATGAGCTTTAATGAGGAGATAAGACCTGAAAACATCTTCTCATATGAAGGCCAAGTTTGAATAGTGACCTAAAAAACTGCAGAATATTTCCTTATTTTTCTTAACTTTTCTTTGTTTTAGTAAACTTCTAAAACTTAGGCTTAAAGGCTTAAAATGAAAAACATCCCAGATTTTCCATGTGGTCTCAGACTTTTGGACCCCAAAAGCACAAGATTCTCTTCTTTTAAGATGGAACTTCCATCATATCCTTTGTTCAGTATTATCACTCATTAAAATGTTATCAAACTGTATCCATTCATTCTACATATTCTATATTTAAAAATTATAGTCTGTTGTTTTGCTGTTATTCACAGTTTTATTCACAGTTCCTCTTGTTTTGTTCCTACTTTGTGTTTTTATATTTTGACATTGTGTCTTATTTTATCACTTTACAGTTGTAATATGATATTAGTATAAATAAAACATATATCCATTAAATGTATACTTTTTCTTATTATTGTAATTGTTATTATTTTTCCTGTAGACTATATATGAATGTATGTGTTGATTTCCACAATAAATATCCAGTTTCTCAGAGCAGAGAAACAGCACCCTCCTTCTGTCAATTCACAAACTGCAGACAAAGACACCAGTGATGACGTCAAACTTCACAGACTCTTAAAGTGGCAATAAAGACATTAATCATACCTCTGAATATGTGACAGTATGAAAGAAATGTCTGGCAAAAAAATATCAAAATTAATATACAGTTATTCAACAATATATAACTCTTTCCAAAAAAGTTGTGACGCTGTGCAAAATGTAAATAAAAACAGAAACCAATGATGTGCAAATCGATTTAACGCTATATTTATTGAAAATAATACAAGACAACATATCAACTGTTAAAACTGAGAAGTCTTATTGTTTTTTTTTTTTTGTTTTTTTTTGGAATATATATGCCCATTTTGAATTTGATGCCAGCAACATGTTCCAAAAAAGCTGTGATTGGGATGTGTTTAATGCATTGCTGCCTCAGGGCCTGAAATTCACGGCCATCCACTACTGATTTTTGGCCTTGTGCCTTAAATACAGAGATTTCTCTGGATTCTCTGAATCTTTTAATGATATTATGTACTGTAGATGATAAAAAGCAAATTTTTGCCATTTTACATTGAGGAAGTTATTCTTGAATTGTTAATGTATGTGTGCACAGTTTTTCACAGAGTGGTGAACTCTTCCCATTTTTACCTCTGAAACATTCTTTATATACATTCTTTTCAATCATTATTAGGTTTTATAGTATAATAAACACAATGAAGTAGTTCTGCTAAGGTTACATGGTATTAGTGGTTAAGTTGTTAAAATCAAGAAAAACATTGTCTGTAGGGGGGGTGGGTTGGGTTGGGGTAACAACAGTTAATGTCACCTGTTAGCCACATACTGTTAGTCTTATAGAAACCACAGATCTAAAAAAAAATAAATAAAACCATATAACAGTTATGTTTATATTAACTTATAGTTTAATAATGTAGAAAATTGGCATACACTCTTTGACCATTTTATTATTTATTATTTTTATTATTATCTTGTATTTTTTTTTTGTTAAATACAACCTCTTACCATATTATTACCATGTTATTACCAAATTATTACTGGTGTGTAAAGTAAAACGCAATTTTTTCTGCTTTGTGGTTTTCAGGATTGATAATATACTAAACTGTTTTTTAGCAGCTAATCAGACTTGAAGGAAACATTCAATCATTGATTATCTGTGAAAACAGAAAGATATAACTGTTTGACATGTAGGAGGTGCTCTAACACTCTAATCAACCTACAGAATCTCATGTAAAGAGAGACAGAGAGAGATACATGCCCAGATCCCCCTAAAATCCTAAAATCAGCCTCCATCTTTTTGTTTCATTGTATATCTTCTTGGGTGCCAGTCACCCAAGATCATCTCTGACGACCTTCGAATGTGATTTGAGTGATCTGATTACATTCACTGTGTGTTCTGGGTATGTTTACATTTGGCTTTTCATGCAGTCACATAAAATATGAACATTATCCAATCCTGTGGGGGAACAAAGGAAGAGAAAGTGGCATCCCAGAGGAAAGCAGGCCGGTGTCAGGAACAGGCTGAGGGCTTGAGCATAAAAAGCAACACTGCCTAGCATACTGCTAGCCAATGTTCAGTCTCTGGAGAACAAGTTGATGACCTCTGGGCCAGGATCAATTCCAGAGGGACATTTGGGACTGCAACCTCCTTTGCTTCTCCGAATCATGGCTGAGGCCAGCAGTACTGAACCACGCCATTTAGCCAGCCCAGTTCCTCTTGGTTTACCGCATTTAAACCTTCCTCATGCCAAAATATAAACAGAAGCTGAAACATATGATGCATGAAAGAACTGATTACAGAGTCTGGAGCCCATAAGACAGTCAGAGTTACTGTAGCTTACAGCTTCACTTCTCTCCTCTCTAACTCCAGCAGCTCCTCTACAACACTGAGCTGATTCTGAGAGAAATCACAAACCACAACAAACACTGACTCACCAACAATCATGAGCAGAAAGATCAGAGGAAGAGGAGGAGCCATTCTCAATGATCTCATCACAGCAGCCTGTAGGATATTTTTAGGTAATGACATTAGAAATTAAATGCTTTTATTGCTAACACAATGTTTTCTATGTAGTAATTAATCAATAATCCATGACTGTCTTATGTTAAGATGACTGTGATGAACACAAATGAATTACATAATAAACATGGCTGGTTTAGCAATAGGTGTTGCTTAGACATCTCAGAAATTTTTAGACCAGACCAAGGTCTGTATTGGAAAACATGGAGCACCATCTTCATTCGAAGCTACTTGCCCCTGACAATGAGGAACAATGAGGAACAATGAAACATATGATGCATGATATGTATGTATATATGTGTATGTGTATATATGTGTATATATATATACATATATATATATATATATATATATATATATATATATATATATATATATATCATCATCATTGTTAACCGCTTAGTCCAGATAGGGTCGCGGTAGCAGTTGGGAGAGCAGAGAATCCCAGGTGACCCTGTCCCCCGCAACTTCCTCCAGCTCATTCCCGGGGACCCCAAGCCGCTCTCAGGCCAACTTGGAGATATAATCCCTCCAGCGGGTCCTAGGACGACCCCGGGGTCTTATTCCGGTAGGCCGTGCCTGGTGCACCCCCACCGGGAGGCGTCCCGGGGGCATCCGGATCAGATGCCCGAACCACCTCAGCTGGCTCCTCTCCATGCGGAGGAGTAGCGGCTCTACTCCGAGCTCCTCCCGGATGGCTGAGCTCCTCACCCTATCAAATAGAGTGTAGTCCGCCACCCTGCGAAGAAAGCTCATTTCTGCCGCTTGTATTCGCGATCTCATTCTTTCGGTCATTACCCACAGCTCATGACCATAGGTGAGCGTCGGGATGTAGACCGATCGGTAAACAGAGAGCTTCGCCTTACGGCTCAGCTCCCTCTTCACCACTACAGTCCAGTACAGAGATCGCATTACTGCTGGCGCTTGTCCCAGCCTGCGGTCGATCTCACGATCCTTCTTCCCATCACTCGTGAACAAGACCCCGAGATACTTAAACTCCTCCACCTGGGGCAAGTCCTTTCCCCCTACCTGGAGTGGGTATACCATCCTTTTCCGGGCTAAGACCATGGACTCAGACTTGGAGGTGCTGATCCGCATACCAACCGCTTCACACTCAGCTGCAAACCACTCCAGTGTGCGCTGGAGGCATCCATGTGATCCAGCCAAAAGAACAACGTCATCTGCAAATAGCAGAGACGCCACCCTCCGGCCTCCACACATAATGCCCTCCTGACCCCGGCTACGCCTTGACACCCTGTCCATGAATATCACAAACAGGAGTGGAGACAGGGCACAACCCTGGCGGAGTCCAACGCTAACACTGAAAGAGTCCGACTTAATGCCGAGTATACGAACACAGCTCTCACTCCGGGCGTACAGAGATTGAATGGCCCGGAGTAGTAACTCCGGCACCCCATACTCCCGGAGGACCTCCCACAAGATATCTCGGGGAACACGGTCGTAAGCCTTCTCCAAATCCACAAAACACATGTAGACTGGGTTGGCAAACTCCCATGCCCCCTCAACAATCCGTGAGAGGGTGAAAAGCTGGTCCATTGTTCCACGGCCAGGACGGAATCTGCATTGTTCCTCCTCAATCTGAGGTTCAACTATCGGTCGAAGTCTCCTTTCCAGCACCTTGGCATAGACTTTCCCAGGGAGGCTGAGCAGTGTGATACCCCGATAGTTGGCACACACCCTCCGGTCCCCTTTCTTGAAAATAGGGACCACCACCCCGGTCTGCCAGTCCAAGGGTACTGTTCCCAAGGTCCATGCACTATTGCAGAGGCGTGTCAGCCATGACAGCCCCACAATATCCAGAGCCTTAAGCATCTCCAGGTGAATCTCATCCACCCCCGGTGTCTTGCCACTGAAGAGCTTGCCAACTACCTCAGTGACCTCCACCAGGGAAATGGAGCTTGACACACCAGAGGCCTCTGACCCTGACTCCCGTGAGGGAGGCATGTCACCCGGATTAAGGAGTTCTTCAAAGTGCTCTTTCCACCGACAATATCCTCATTTGAAGTCAGAGTTTCTCCACCCCTGCTGAATACAGCCTGGGCGCAGCCACCCCGACCACTCCTGAGTCGCCGGACAGTTGTCCAGAACCTCCTCGAGGCCGACCGAAAGTCTTTTTCCATGGCCTCACCAAACTCCTCCCACGCCCTGGATTTTGCTTCTGCCACCGTTGCAGCTGCCACCTTTTTTGCATGTCGGTACCTATCTGCTGAATCGGGAGTCCTTCGAGCCATCCAGTCCCTAAAGGCCTCTTTCTTCAGCTTGACGGCCTCCCTCACCACCGGTGTCCACCAGGGGGTTCTTGGGTTACCGCCATGACAGGCACCAACAAGCTTTTGGCCACAGCTGCGCCTGGCAGCTTCCACAATGGAGGTTTTGAACAGGGTCCATTCAGACTCTATGTCCCCTACCTCCTCTGGGACATGAGAAAAGCTCTCCCGGAGGTGGGAGTTAAAATCATTCCGAACAGGGGCCTCCGACGGTCGTTCCCAGCACACCCTCACTATTCGCTTGGGCCTACCGGGTCTAACCCTCAGTCTTCCCTGCCATCTGATCCAACTCACCACCAGATGGTGATCAGTTGACAGCTCAGCACCTCTCTTCACCCGAGTGTCCAGAACATATGGTCCCAAGTCAGATGAAACGACAACAAAGTCGATCATTGACCTTTGACCCAAGGAGCTCTGGTACCATGTACACTTATGAACATCCTTGTGTTCGAACTTGATGTTCGTTATGGACAATCCATGCCTGGCACAGAAGGCCAATAACAATTCACCATTCGGGTTTAGATTGGGCAGGCCGTTCTTCCCAATCACGCCTCTCCAGGTCTCCCAGTCATTGCCAACATGAGCAATGAAGTCTCCCAGTACGACTATGGAGTCTGTGGTCAGGACCCTTTCCAGAACCCCGCCCACTTGCTCCAAGAAGGCCGAATACTCCGACCTGTTGTTTGGTGCATAAGCACACACAACAGTCAGAGTTTTCCTCTCTGCGATTTTAATACGCATTGAGGCGACCCTCTCGTCCACCAGGACAAACTCCAACTGTACTGCCGCCAGCCGGGGACTCGTGAGTATCCCCACACCCGCCCGGCGCCTCTCACCTTGTGCAACCCCGGAGTAGGAGAGGGACCAACCCCTATCCAGGAGTTTGGTTCCAGAGCCGATACTGTGGGTGGAGGTGAGCCCAACTATATCTAGTTGGTACCTCTCAACCTGCCGCACAAGCTCCGGCTCCTTCCCCCCCAGTGAGGTTACACTCCACGTACCAAGAGCCAGTTTCTGCCGTAGGGGCCTAGGCCACCAAGGGCCCCCCTGCAATCTCCCACTGCCTGTACGGCACTGCACCACTCCCCCATGCTGGACCTTGTGGGTGGTGGGCCCACATGGTCCCCCCACGTTGCCTCTTCCGGCTGAGCCCGGCCGGGTTACGTGGGCTGCCTGGCCACCAGGTGCTCGCCGATGGATGCTACCCCAGGCCTGGCTCCAGGGGTAGGTCCCGGTGACCCTCTCCCGGGCAGGGTACACAATGTTCTGTGTCCATTTTTCATGGAGGTTTTTGGATCGAGTTAGTCTGGGTCTTCACTCCAGACCTGTTCGCCCTGGGAGACCCTACCAGGAGCATGTTGCTCCCGACGACTTAGCTCTGAAGATCCCTAGACCACACAAGCCCTTCTGCCACGACAAGGCCCCGATCCAGGAAGGGCCCTATCACCCTAATTATTTTAAATCATTACAGGATGTTATGATATTCGGGGTATTACTGCAAAACAATGAGGTGGTTCTGCTAAGGTTACATGGTCTTAGTGGTTAAGTTCTTGTTATTATCATTAAAGACATTGTTGTTTCTTACCCATAATGTATTTATATGGTCAGGTACAGTGTGATGTTCAGACATAGTTACAGGCTGTAATTACAGTGAAACTAAATGTTATTGCAGCTGTCAAATCCTAACTTACTTCTTTCCATCTAGTTTCTAAGTTTCTGTATCTCATATCAGGTGAAAACAATGCTACTTTTCTGCTTTGTGGTTTTCAGGATTGATAATACATTAAACTGGTTTCTTTAGCAGCTAATCAGACTTGATGGAAATGTTCAATCAGACTGATGAAAAGTAAACTGTGAAAACAGAAGAGCATCACTGTTTGACATGTAGGCGGAGCTGTAACACTCTCGAATCAACCAGTAGAGTCTCATGTAGAAGAGACAGAGAGAGATACATGTGTGAAGTTGAACCTCATAAACAGCAAACAGCAGAAAGAGGAAGTTGCCATCACCATGACTGCAGATGCTGAGCTCACATAGCAGGGCTGTAATCATGTGCAGTGTTAGAGCTTCTTCATTTACAAAACACCAGAATAAGAGTGTATAGACGAAAACAGCCACTACAGCATCTTACAGACAAAATTGATTGCATGCAGTAAAATATACAGTGTATTTTATTTTTAAATTAATGTGTGTATGGATAAAAAACTAAAGATATCTACCATTTTTACGGGATTTCACTTCACCACACACTTTCTGTGATTTTGTGAAAGTCTTTGTGAGGAAAAATGCACCAAGCCTTGTCCTCATATCCAAAATAATATCTGAATAGATACAGTGAGGTGGAAATCAACTTTCCATGTTGTTTTATTCATGTTTCTAAACATGTTGAGCTTCCAAACTGTGTTACTCTTTGGTGAAGTCAGCAATATGCCGACATGTAGGGTGAGAGACCAGGAGCAGGTTTAAAAGCATGTTTTTGGGACAGATTTGTGTGAAATACAGACTGTGCATGTACTGTAACTGGTGAAATATCTAGAGATCATCTGTATTTTAACTCACATCTGAAAATCTTCTTCTCCACCATGTTGGCCTGACAGCTGTAAACAAACCCATCCACTCTGATTGGTCCTAGACTTCATCTCAATGAATTTTGGGAATGCAGGTGAGGATCAATCAGAGTGGATGGGTTTGTTT